CCCAGCATTTCTCAGGAAAAAAAAAACACAAATGCACAACACTATTTGTTAAATAACCCCTTTCAACTTTTGTACGCCTGAAAAATCAAGGAAAGAAAGGGCGTGAGTGTAAATTAAATACATTTAGAAGCTATTCGCACATGTTGCTTGAACCAGAAGGCAGGAGTTCATCTGCTGTCATGGAAGGAGAAGCTGGAACACCTGCACCTGGCCCTGCCCAGAGCTTTGGTTCCTGCTCATTTTGGGGAATTCTGACAGGAAAAGGAGACTTTGGCCGGTGTTGGTGACCCCGGCACAGGCCCTGCTGCGCCACTGCTCCAGTGCTGGCCACGCTCCCACCAGAAACACAGATCCTGGAAGCCAAATGCAAAGATGCAAGTTCTGTTTCAGGGGCAAAAGTCCCTAAAATGTGAGGAGAGGAAAATCCCAGATAAAATCTGACCAAGCCAGAGCGTGGTCTGAAGCCCCATGTGCAAGCTCTTCCTCTTTTTTTCCGCTCTCAGCCAATTTAGTTTCTGGTTTCGTGACAGGGGATGTTTACGATTGCTTATGCCAAGAAAGTAACAGATAGGCTTTCCTTAAGCCATTTTTGTCGTATTCACAGCCCAAAAGTTCTCAATTATTATTATTATTAGTAAATAAACTTGTCACAGTCCATACAGCACGAGATGTGCATCTAACCCAGCACAACCTATGAGAGACTCCATTAAAATAAAACCAGGCTTCACTTGATAAATGTTAAGAAGAGAAAAGGACAGTAAAGGGTCAATTAATTAAAATTATTTTGAACGCTTTGAACTTTTAATTTAAGTAGAACATCACTGTACACAGAGCTCCTTCAGGTCCAAAACCCTTCTCCAAGTACATCTGAGGACAGCTAATGGTACAGCAGCTCCCTCCCTGCTACTCTTAGCCCTGCTGTGCATATGCAATATTTCATCATCTTTACATACATGACCACACGCTATTTTTTTTCCAGAGGACTCTCTCACCAATGTGCAATCCAGTATTTATTTCATTTTACTCTTTCATTCGGAGTGATCTCACCACTCGCTGTTTACCTCTGCCCCAAACCAGAATTACTAATTCCCCTCGGGTTTTTCTCCAGTATTCATTCTGCCGTATGACTGATCGATGCTGCAAAACTTTGTCTTAAAAACTGGGCTGAGAGCGCACAGAACGGAAATTTTCAGCAAAAATAGGTAAGGCGCAGCCACCAGAGCTGCCCCTGCTCACTTCCTCTGCTTTTCCAATGCAATTTCAGCCGCTTCTCTGAATTTCGTGACGTCTCACGTACGTGGGAAGCCGTTTTTCGGCTCGCTCAGAAAGCTGCGTGTTAACGTACCGCCTGTATTGTGAACACGCACGCAAAGTCACATTTTCCTCCAGCCTAGATCTTTCCAGCCTGATGTTCCTTTGGATACAGACTGAGCACCGACAAAAAGAAATCGTGACCAACAATTTTTAGAGCTTGCTTCTAAACTACAGAAGTTTTTTCTCATCCACAATTTCTGGTATAAGCAGCACTTAAATGATATAATTCTTGAAGAGTTTACAGTCTGTTACTATATCCTTCTATAGTCAATATTAATCCCTTTTCAGCTAAATTTCCTTGAAGGCAACTATTATTGATGTATCAAGCTTCAAGCAATCATGGAAACCTACCACACAATGACATTTCTGTAATTTGATAATTTTTATGTAATTACCATGTAGCTAATACCCCAAAACCTACTGCATGCAAAGGTTCATTTATTTTCCCTTATTCCACAAGCCAACCAGCTAAAAACCCACTTTATTCCTAAACCTGAAGGGGGATTCCAGCCCCACAGAGATTTACACGGACAATCTGTTTGTATTCCTGCCTGGGAAACAGCATTAAGGATCCTTTTCCTTCCTTTATGTCCTCCTCCACGCCACTCATCGCCGTTTGCACCGTTCAGCTGTGATGGACGTCGGCTGGCAAAGGGCCACCTCATCTTCCCAGCAATGAAGCAGATCTTCAGGAAACGCGGCCCCTTCCTGGTGGCACCGCACTCATTTATGGGGTTTCCTGAAGTGGAAAAACCTTCAGGAAAATCAGTCGGCGCGGCGAAGACGTCCAAATCCACGTTTTCTTGGCAGAGAAAGTGCTAAGGGTGTGCAAAGCTGGCTCCTTCTGGGGTCTACCTGGCAAGCGATCCCCGTCAGGTCACCAGAACTGGTTGTGGCAAGATGACACGTGTGCTCCTCATGCCCCAGTTAAAAGCCGAAACCTCAGTGAAAGGTGACGCAATGTGCCTCACAACTGGGGCATCAGCTCCGCTAACACACGGTGACTCTTCCAACTCCAGAGTCTTCAAACCTAATTCTGAAGTCAGCCCAGCTCTTAGGTCTACAAGGAGGAGCTGAAGCCCAGGGAACGGCTCTGCCTTTTCCAAGAGAGGAAAACACGCTGTAGTCATCGCACAGATCCATCAGAAAGGTGGAAAACAGCATAGAAAGAATGGAAGGAGAAAGCACCACAAGATGTGTGATATTCTCTCTCTGCCCACTGGGACACTACAGCGGGCCAACGCCATCACACAACTGCCCGTGCCATGCAGGTATGTGGCAAGAGCAGGCATCTGGCCAGGACGGTGAAGGGATTAGGAGCACGAGGTGGATTCATTGGAAATGCGACACAACTTCTACAAAGCTTCAACATCCACGTTCCTCCTCCACAAAACAACCTAGTAATTCAAGGTCTCCTTGCTCCCCGAATATTTAGGAACTGACTGTTTTCCCAAGCAGGAGAAGGCACCGGGGGGTGATGAAGCACATTCACGGTCCATGCCGTCCATAGGAAGATCTGTAACTGCAGGACAGCTCCTCTCTTTAACCGGAGCTCACTTCATCCTCCTCTCCCAAGCTTTAACATCTCAGAGACGCCACCATGCTGAAATCTTTGACAAAACCTGATGTGTGAGGACTTGGTATGTATCTACAGGTTCTCCTCCAAAAGAGGATGAAAAACCACTGCATCACCTCTAGCATAACACCAAGATGATACATTCCTCCAGGTACAATGACCTTCTTAATGATCCACTGGTGTTCCTCAACAGGGGAAATTCTACATTTTACTTGCTTTTAAGGAAAAAGAAAACCATGATTAATTACAACAGCACCCGGATTTCCGACTATGTCTCAGATGTTTAGTAAAAAACCAACGAAAAGAAGCAAACAGCTGATGTCTAGCAAAGTCAAGCCTCGT